TCCCAACACACCTGGAAGAAGAGAAAGGAAGAAGAGAAAGGCCTTGCCAGCCTCTGGGACCCCAAAGGCTGCAGAGTCGGAGACCCCATGGAAAGACCCAGGGAAGAAGCCAAAAATCTATGAGTCAGTGAAGGAAAAAAATCCTTCACTGAGGAAAAAAGCCCAAGACAAGCTCCAAAAAAGCCAGAGGCCAAGTTTTTTGCTACTCTTAGTAAATCTGTGAGAAAAGTTTCCCACAGCCCCCCAAAACCCAAAAACCCAAAATACCTCAGTTGACCTAAAGTCAGTAATTCAACTGGAAGGAAACATCAGCACTATCTGAAGAGCCTTTTAGAAATATTGGGGTCCCGACCCACTTTGTAGCCTTCTGCAAGGGTGAGGCTTGGACTTGAAGATTTCTTAAAACCTCTATAGGTAATTCTGACATATTCTGTGTTATTTTAATAGAGGTTTATTTGAAATTATATATTCTGCATTATTTAATTTTCTGTTACATAAAGGTTGTTATTTAAACAAAACAATAAGACTAGTTAACAGCGGCAATTAGTGGTAATTAACAGTTCTGATGAGGGAGAAGGAAAGGAAGACTCAGTTGGAGAAAATTCAGACTGCAGAAGTGGCCTGCCTGAAAAGGCACAGCAACAGGCAAAAATAAAACAACCTAGGAAAAAAACTCAGGTTGCACATGCAGATAGATAAGCAGACAGGGTCCAGCACAGAAGCCTTTTGTTCGTTATATAAATAGCAAGCTCCCAGGAGAAAGTTTCCTTCCCTTTCCAGGCATATACATGGTGGGAACCTGCACAGGGAGTGGTGGGGGGGCTTACCTAAAACAAACCCACACTTATACAAAAAAGGGAAGCGGTGCTTTGTGCTTGCCTGGAGACATACCCACAGCTGCCTAAGATAAGGGATGTTGCACAAACAGCTTTACTAATAAGAGAAGTTACTTAATCTACTACAGAGATGAGAGGAGTTTCTTATAAAAACTTTTGAATTCAAGAAGCAGCTCCTCCACTCCCTCTGGAATCTCCACCTGATTCAGCCCGCCTGCCTCCACCATGTCCATCAGGGTGACCCAGAAGTCCTACAAGGTGTCCATCTCTGGTCTCCAGCAGCCGCTCCTACACAAGTGGGTCCGGTGCCCACATCAGGTCCTCAGGCTTCACCCTAGAAGTGAAGCAGCAGCTTCTGGGCTGGCCTGGGTGGAGGCTATTGTGGGGCCAGCAGCGTGGGAGTCATCACCACCATCATGGTCAACCAGAGCCTGCTGAGCCCCCTTAACCTGAAGGTGGACCCCAACATCCAAGCTGTGCACACCGAGGAGAAGGAGGAGATCAAGACCCTCAACAACAAGTTTGCTTCCTTCATTAACAAGGTACTGTTCCTGGAGAAACAGAACAAGATGCTAGAGACCAAGTGGAGCCTCCTGCAGCAGCAGAAGATGGCTCGGAGCAACATGGACAACATGTTCGAGAGCTACATCAACAACCTTAGGCGGCAGCTGGAGACTCTGGGCCAGGAGAAGCTGAAGCTGGAGGTGGAGCTTGGCAATATGCAGGGGCTGGTAGAGGGCTTCAAGAACAAGTATGAGGAAGAGATCAATAAGCGTACAGAGATGGAGAATGAATTTGTCCTCATCAAGAAGGATGTGGATGAAGCTTACATGAGCAAGGTAGATTACATGAACAAGGTAGATAGAGCTGGAGTCTCGCCTGGAAGGGCTGACTGACGAGATCCACTTCCTCAGGCAGCTGTATGAACAGGAGACCCAGGAGCTGCAGTCCCAGATCTCAGACACATCTGTGGTGCTGTCCATGGACAACAGCCGCTCCTTGGACATGGACAGCATCATTGCTGAGGTCAAGGTGCAGTATGAGGAGATTGCCAACCGCAGCTGGGCTGAGGCTGAGAGCATGTACCAGATCAAGTATGAGGAGCTGCAGATGGTGGCTGGGAAGCATGGGGATGACCTGTGGAGTACAAAGACTGAGATATCCAAGATTTTTTTTTTTTTTTTTTTTTTTGAGACGGAGTTTCGCTCTTGTTACCCAGGCTGGAGTGCAATGGCGCGATCTCGGCTCACCGCAACCTCCGCCTCCTGGGTTCAGGCAATTCTCCTGCCTCAGCCTCCTGAGTAGCTGGGATTACAGGCACGCACCACCATGCCCAGCTAATTTTTTATAGTTTTTAGTAGAGACGGGGTTTCACCATGTTGACCAGGATGGTCTCGATCTCTTGACCTCGTGATCCACCCGCCTCGGCCTCCCAAAGTGTTGGGATTACAGGCGTGAGCCACCGTGCCCGGCCGATATCCAAGATTAACAGTAACATCAGCTGGCTCCAGGCTGAGATCGAGGGCCTCGAAGGCCAGAGAGCTTCCCTGGAGGCCACGATCACAGATGCCGAGCAGCGTGGGTTGCTGGCTGTTAAGGGTGCTAACAACAAGCTGTCCGACCACTGCCCTAAGTCCTAGGGACACAGCTTCCATTAAACAGGCAAAACTTCTGCCCTTGGAAAATACATTATTCTGTAAGAGAGATAAGCATTTTTTATTTTTTAAACCAACTTTATTGAGGTTCGATTTACAAACAATAAAATGTAAACATTGTAAGTGCATACTTCAATGAAATTTTACAAATGTACTCACCCACACAGGCACTACCTTAATCAAAAAACAGACTATTTACATCACTTCAAATCCAGCTCTATCCAAGTTAGTCTCTTCTTGAGCTCTGAGCAGCCACTAATCTGTTTTCTGTCACTATAGATGTCTTTTAAGAGTTCAGGGTCTCACTTGGGGAATCATACGCTTTTGCATTTGATTTCTTTCCTTTTTTCTTTCTTTCTTTTTTTTTTTTTTTTTTTTTTTTTCGACAGAGTCTTACTCTGTTGCCCAGGTTAGAGTTGCAATGGCATGATCTTGACTCATCGTAACCTACGTTTTCCAAGTTCAAGCAATTCTCCTGCCTCAGCCTCCCAAATAGTTGGGATTACAGGCACAGACCACCATGCCCAGCTATTTTTTTTTTTTTTTTGTATTTTTAGTAGAGACAGGATGTAGAAAGCAAAAATTCCTCTTCAAAGTTTCCCTTCTTGTTAAACAATAATAAAAATAAATGTTAAAAATAATAGTTTGTTTTAAAGACTAACTTCAAAGCCTTCTTGCTTTTTCCTAACAACTCTTTGTTAAGCCCTATCCTACGTAGCTATTAGACATGCTTATAGGCACATAGTACATTCTATGTCCTTGTACTTTAACCAAGATATTTGTGCTGGACATGCTCACAGGCATATCCCAGCTCACAGTCTATGCCCCTTCCTTATTTAGATTTCCTCTTTTCCTTTGTTCTCCATTGCCTTTACTTATTTAGAAAAGTTAAATGTTCTTAGCCAATTGGGTTCAGTTTAGATTGTGAGGTCTGGCTCCAACCAATGGAGATTGGACACAGCAATAAGGACCCAATGCGTAAGAAATAAGCATGCCTGCCTTTCCTTTGTTATTGTACTCTTATGGCAAGATGGCTGATGGGAGCACCCTTTCTGCAGAAAGTAAAATTGCCTTGCTGAGATAGCTAATTTTTCCTTGTGGTACCTAGGAACAAGGATTCTGTCTCTAACACAGGATTTCACCATGTTGGTCAGGCTGGTCTCCAACCCAACCTCTCCACCCACCAGCCTCCCAAAGTGCTGGGATTACAGGCATGAGGCACCATGCTCGGCCTGATTTCTTTTACTCAATACATTTTTGAAATTCATTCATCTTGTATGTCAAGTAGTTGATCCCTAGTGATAATTATATTCATTATGTTGTATAGATACCCCACAAGTTGTTTATTCAACAGCCGATGGACATTTGGGTTGTTTCTAGTTTTTGATTATTAAAAACAAAGCTGGGCCAGATGTGGTGGCTCAAGCTTGTAATCCCAGCACTTTGGGAGGCCAAGGTCAGGGGTTCTAGTCTAGCCTGGCCAACATGGTGAAACCTGGTCTCTACTAAAAATACAGAAAACAGCCTGGTGTGGTGGCACACACCTGCAATTCCAGCTACTCAGGAGGCTGAGGCACGAGAATCGCTTGAACCTGAAAATTGGAGGCTGCAGTGAGCCCGGATCATGTCACTGCACTCCAGCAGGGGCAACAAGAGTGACACTCCATCTCAAACAGAAACAAAAACAAAACAAAACAAAGCTGGTATGAACATTAACACACGAGCCTCTGTATGACTATATACTTTTGTTCCTAGGTAAATTTGTAGGCAATTACTGGATCATACAACCAATATATCATTGTAATAAAAGATTGTAAGTTTTCCAAAGTGGTTGTACCATTTTGCATTACCACCACCCACATACCAGATGTCCAGTTGCTCTGCATTCTTACCAACGTTTGGTATTATCTTTTAATTTTGGGCCATTCTAAAGAACAGGTGGTGATAAAGATGTGCTTCTTACCTGTGCCAGTCTATTTATGTAACCCATTTTAAAAATAATTTTATTAATAAATTTTAAAAAATCAAAAACGTGAGAATGTGAAATTAAATGTCTGGCTTGACTTTGCAGATATTTTGTTTCGATGTTCCTTCAGGAAACTCCCAGGCGCTGTATAGGAACATAAATCAGTTGTCAGGCAGCAGTAGCACGTTGTTGGCAGCTTGGCTACTCCTTCGTGCTCGCAACCACTAAGGTCAATACGCACTTTCACGGTTTCTCTCAGTCTTCGCGTCACCTTTCTAAGAAATTCCCAGAGGGCAACGCAGAAGGGGCGGGCTCTGAGGCTCCGGGCTCCGCCTCTTTCCAGGAACCGCCCACTACCCTGGACTCCGACCGAGGGTGGTAAAAAGAAGGTAACTTCCGGTCTCGCGATCGTCTCTAATCTCGCGAGAAGAGAAGGCAGCCGCCATCGGCTCTACGGAGGCGTTGGCGAGGGAGGGGGTGTGGCCGGGGAGCGCGAAGTCCCCAGGAGTAAGGGGAGGGGGCGGGGTCGCACGCCCCGGGCGTACGCATGCGCGTACGCTGCCTCTCGGGCAGGGCTGAGAGGGGAGGGGGCGGTGGCGGTAGAGGCGGCGTCGTTATTTCCGTGGTCCGGACGGTGCGTGGCGGCGCGGGTGACCACGGGAGAAGTAGGTAGGGACCGCCCCTGCGGAGCCATTGAGACCCTCTCTCTCCTGTGTCCGAGAGCCGCAGTCCCCTGCGCGTGTGGCGGACCCTGGGGACCCCAGGTCACCCTGCGGCCCCGGCCCTCTCGCTGCGCGTCAGGTAGGAGCCGCGGGCTCCCAGGTGCCTGTTGTGTGCCGAGGCCCCGGCCTTCCCGGTGTTACCAAGGCGACGACCGGGCACCGGACGTGCGCGCCCTCTCGCGCGGCGACAGCCCTGTCCTTGCTTCCGCGCCTAGTGGGACCGGTGCTGGGCCGGGCTGACCCGGGCGGGGCGGAAGGGAAGCGGGTGTCCGCTTCAGGTGTGCTTCCGTCCTAGGCCCGGCCGGTAGGACCCTGCGGTGCGCGCCTGCTCCTCATTTTGCCCGACGAGGCTGTGGGCCGGGCCGGGAGAGGTCCCAGCGAGCTCTGGCCAGGTGACGGGCTACTTTCATTGACTTCAGTAGCTGCTGCATGGGGTCCTGGGCTGCGAGAAGGGACCTTGAGTAGTGCCTTGGTCATTTGTGGCTAGCTAGTAGTGAAAGTTGGAAGCTTTGGAGTTGTTCTTTTCGGGCCAGTGGTGAGATGGTTTGTGATTTTTGCTTTTAAATAGGAAGGCAAAGTGGTTATGGGCCCTGGTAGGATGGTGGGCTGATAGTAAATAAGCAGCAGGAGTGTTAATTGACGTGGGATTTGATTGCATTAAGGTTATTCTTTGCAGTACTTGTCTTTAGACTCAGAAGAGTTCTGCTTAAAGAGTTTAGTAAGACTCATCCCATTCTGAAACAAACACACATTTGTGCAAATACTCTTGTCCTGAAAGCTACATCCTCTCTCTTACATCAGTATTAATTTTACAGGCATAATGGTTATGAAAGCTTCTGTAGATGATGATGATTCAGGATGGGAGCTCAGTATGCCAGAAAAAATGGAAAAAAGCAATACAAACTGGGTGGACATTACCCAAGATTTTGAAGAAGCTTGTCGAGGTGAGTCTGATTTTTGTATTAAGATCTTCAGTATCTGGGAGGGGTAAAATAAAATGATGATTGTGATTTCTAAACTTACCTCATTAGATGAAATCAACAGGTAAGTGTGGTTTATTGAGTTTGTTAGCCACACTTTTTCCTGTATCCTCTAATTTTAAAGCAAGTGTATATTTGATATAGCATTAAATACAGATGTTGAGGCAGTTTTTTAAAATTGAATTTTTCTTCAACAGGTTAGAGAGTACATAGTAATTTCTAACTGTAGAAAATAGTTTGTTAATCTAAAAGATGGTAGTATTTTTGTATATTCGAGGTTTCAGAATGATCAGATCACATCATTTCTTACTTAAGATCCTCCAGTGGCTTCCTGTTGCAGATAGAATAAAATCCAAACTCCTTCCCCATGGTCTATAAAATCTGGTCCCTGCCTGCTACTCAGGTTTCATTTACGGGCCAGGCTTATTACATTCCAGTCACAGGTCTTTCTTTTTTGTCTTCGTGATACAACCAAGGTGGTTCTCCCAGGTGTTTGCATTTTTTGTTTTCTCTCTTAAATTGTTTTGCCCCTTGCTTTCACACAATTCGTAAGTGTTACCTCCCTGGTGAGGACCTCAAAACAACCACTCATTCTCTCCTCTGCAGTTCCACTTCAGTTCTGTCACTTTTTATTTTCTTCATACAGCTTATCTTTTTTTTTCACAAGCCATAATTTTCGATTGTTTCTTGTTTATTTTCAGTCTCACTCGCTGGAATATAAGCTCCATGGGGCAGAGATCATTTCTGTAACCCTAGTACACAGAACAGTTTTTGGCACATGGTAAATTCAATAAATAGGAGTAAATGATCGGTGATCGGAGAAATGAACATGTTGGTTGGTGGAAGGGAAAGAGCCTATGGAGAGACTGAAGAACAAGAGAAAGGAACAAATACTACAATGAGTGCTTGAACGTTAAAGAGAGGATGAGATGAAGGACATGGTAGAGAAATTAACTTGGGGAAAAGCATAGGGACACACTGAGTGAGACAGGAAGGACTAAAGTTAGGATGACTATAAAGGTATATTAGAAATATACAGGGGAGGACTGGTGAAGGAATTCACACCTGATGGCTTCTATTGTCTTAAGCAGCTTGGGTCTTTCAATGATAGGTGGGGTGTTTTAATAGTGCCCTGAAGGGGAGGAGTAAAGACTTGAGGCAGCTGCAGGTGGAAAGGGAGCCAGCTAAGTATAAGCAAAATGATAAATCTTGTGCCATCCTTTGTTTTGAAATGCATGTCCAGTTCAATCACTTTTTATTGCCTTAGTGAGACAGTGGAAAGAACATGAGACTGGGGATTGGGTGACTGCCCATATATGTCTATCTAAGGAAGAGAGAAGTGTCAAGTTACAGTGTAGTTTTTGTGTTTAGAGACCTTAGACTATTGAGTGGATTATACCTGTCACCTTGCACTGATTTTAAGAATCTCTATTAGGGGGCTGTCATTATGAACCCAAGTAGGGAATGTTTTTGAAGGCTATTTGGCTTGGCGTGGGCCTTAAGGAGAGAGCAGGTTTTTGTAAGGGTAGGTGTAATAGAGTGATTCTAGACTGAGATGAACTGTATGAGTCAGAGTTCAGTGAGGATTTTATGTTAGGAGAACAGTAAATAATTTTGCTTGGCTACAGAACAATTTTCAATGCTGGGAATTATAGAGGGTCTTTAGTGCCATTGGTGTGTTTTTATTTTTGTTTTTAGTTTGAGCTTGTTTTTCTAGGCAGTAGGAGTTTGTTAATGGATTTGAGCATAAGATTGAAAGTGTATTCCCCTTGATGATCAGTACAATGGCTTGGACCCTGTAGAAGCTACTCTGTATTAGCTTCTCAGTAACGTGGTGAGCTTTATAGTCAGGTATGGGTTGGAGTCCCATCTCTGTCGCTTGTTTAGTTTCCTTGAAGTTTAATTAATCTGAGTCTTAGTTTTCTACTCTGGAAAGCAGAGCTTCTACTTTAGAGAATTTTGGGGGTTGAATGAGGTAGTGAATACAAAGTACTGAATCTATAGTAGCATTCAATGATGGTAACTGTTTTTACTCAAGGTATTTGTTTAGAGTTGAAAACATAGAAGATTTATCTACCAGCATAATTTATGATGGATTAGGATGAAAAAAGCCTGTAATCTTAGACAAGGTTTTGCACTCAGTCCAGGTTTGGGTGTTAAAGCCATGGACTAGGCCTCGAGAGAATGGACTAGAAGGGTTACATATGAGAACAAATTCATGTTGCTGGAGAGGTGAAAGAAACATGAGAGAGGATGTGTTCCTTAAACTTTTCCCTTGGTGACAGCAGAGGAGAGTGAACACATATACTACTTCTGAACCTCTCCTTCCTGAATCTTATGGATGGAGTTCAAAATATCTGTTCATAGCTACATGATATCTTTGTGATTTCCTGTTTTATTTTAGAAATTCATGGAAAAGTTTGCATTTTACAACATGTTTGTTGTTTGAGGGAAACACATTTCATTGCTTCTCACATCATCACATTAATTTGAGATTAGGCAGCTGTACAAAGTTTAATTCTGTGTCTTTGAATCTCCTAGGACATGATGTTCACCCAGGGTTGTGTACCACAATTTGAAAACCACAGGTCTGCAGAATTTAGTCTCAATGAAATATGACTTTAGAGGTCCTCTTAATTTTAGTCATGTCGCTTGCTTTCATATGTACATTCTCTACTTGTTTTTGATTATAAGAAAAATTGAACCCAAGAAAGCAGTTTAGAATACTGGTGGGAGAGATGTTTTGACTTGCCTTTGACTTATATCATAAATTAGACTTATTTCTTTGTGAAGGAACTTTGAGTGGGAGATGATGTTTAATCTGTGCTCCACTGTGGATAGAGTGGGGGTGGCATGCCATTTTGTGGCCAACATCATACCATCCTATTAACTCTTCCATAATTAGCTCTTACACCGTGTCAAGTGGCAAAAATGTGAGGTATCCTTCTTGGAACTTAAAAAAAACTGATATAGAATTAATCTTCATATATAGATTTAGGACTAATGACTGTTGGCAGTTCTTGATCCTGTGGTATTTGTTTTCCTTTCTTGAAATAATCAGATTTGTAGTCTTGATTATGATTTAGTCTTCTGTTCTAGTGGCTTTCTAAAAACTAAATTTAAGACAGATATGATTACATTCTTTTAACTTGCAGGAATCTCTCCTCTTTGGTGACAATGTAATGGCATTTGGCTAGACTCTGGTGATTTTTTTAGTACCATAAAATAGTCTGCATACTGATGACGAAGTTGTTTTTCATGCACATTTGTACGTATTCTTTTAGTGGCTCTTCAAAGTCCTGAATCAAATACAAACCTTTACCTTTCATGATTTCTTTTATTTCCTTTTAGGCAGGTAGCACACATTCCCTATAACTACTCTTGAGGCTCTTATTTTTTCTTTTCTAAATTAATTGTAATTTCACCATTACTATTGTTTTGCCTGATAGGAGATATGTAATTATTTTAAATAACACTCTAGGCTTTCTTTTTTTAAAAAAGAATTTATAAATTAAATTTTTTTTTTTCATTTTAGAGTTAGGGTTTCGTTCAGTCACCCAGGCTGAAGTGCATGCAATGCCGTGACCATAGCTCACGATAGCCTTGACCTCCTGGGTTCAGGCAATTCTCTCACCTTAGCCTCCTGAGTAGCTGAGACTACAGGCATGTGGTATGCCTGGCTTTTTAAAATTATTTTTTGTAGATACGTCACGTTACGTAGGTGGTCTCGAACTCCTGGTCTCAAGGAATCTTCTTACCTAAGCCTCCCAAAGTGTGGGATCTTCTTACCTCAGCTTCGCAAAGTGAAGCTTTCCTTCACTAGGAAATGTCTGGGCTTTCCTTAAAGCTTCTAGGCTTTCCTTCTCTAGGAAACCTTGCCTAATTTAAACCATCTCATTTTCTACCTGTAAAAAGTCTCTGATCTTCATATACTATTTGGTTTTCCATATTTAGATGCGTTCTGAATTATAAACTCAGAACTTAGAAATTTCACTTAAACATAAATGATCATGTAACATACACTGCTCCTTCTGCTGCCCACCAGATTCCCTTCTCCCACACTGTGGTTAGCAACATTTTGTCCTAGGATGATGGCACCAGTAGTATCTGGATCCCAGAAGTAATCCAAAACCTGCCATGCTGACTTCCATTCTTTTTATATTTTAGTCTAGGAGGATATGGGCCCATCCTCTCGTTCCATTTTCTTCTCTCTTTGATGGCTTAGTTTAAGCTTGTCCAACCCACTGCCCAAGGGCTGCATGTGGCCCAGGATGGCTTTGAATGTAGCCCAACACAAATTTGTAAACTTTCCTAAAATGTTAGGAGATTTTTTTTTCTTTTCTTTTTTTATAAAGCTCATCACCTATCATTAGTGTTAATGTATTTTATATATGGCCTAAGATAATTATACTTCCACTATGGCCCAGGAAAGCCAAAAGATTGGACATCCCTGGCTTTGTTCATTATTCCATAATCAGTCTTTATTCCTAGCACTGTTGGTTAAGGCCTTCCAGATTCTTTCATCATCTTCAGTTCCTGCTTAGTACTTTAGAAAAATTCATTTTACACCTTGTCTTGCCTCTTGTAAAACCTGGGATGCTTAAGCTTCTTGTTGCTCTTCCTTTCTTTTCTATCTTCTCTCACCTAGAACATTTGTAGGTGCTCAATATGTATATTTGTTTTAGGAATGAATGAAAATTCTAAAGCCATGTTTCCTCGAACTGGAGAATATTTGGTTCTAGGACTACAGAAGTTTGAGAACCACTGTAGTACATTAAATGCTGTCATTTTTGGGGATTGCCTATAACCAGGATAATTATGAACCACAAGCATGGAAACTGAAATTATGTTGATACTTGATTATAATGTTATTATCTAGGTGATCTGGAATATTCTGTGATTTTTTAAAAAAAAGATTACCATTGAACTGATTACATAGTTTTAAAATTAAGGAACAAATAAAA